GTCGACTCGGTCAGTGAATGTGACATCCACCCAGAGCTGGACTCTGATCATTCTCTGGTTTGTCTCTCATTAGATATACTCGAAACTGAAAGAGGAAAAGGCTTCTAGAAATTCAAAAATTCTCTGTTATGTGATAAAGAATGTTTTGAGAAAATTAAAAAAAGAATTAAAGATACATTAAATTAGTATGAGGACAAAAATAATGATGATAATAGAAATTATGTGTCAAACGATCAGTTGCTATGGGAAATAATACTTTTAGCTATAAGGGGTGAAACAATATATTATTCTTCAACTAAAAAAATGATTACAGGGGCAAGGGAAAAAAAGCTTGAAAAGGATTTACTCAATTTTGAAAAGGATTTAGATAGTACAGAAGTGGAAATAGAAAAGAAAAATATATTAAAGAAAATAGAGGAAATTAAAAATGAAATTGAGGAACACCTTGAACAGAAGAATTTTTTAATTAAATCAATTTGTGAATTGCAGTTTACAGATGGAAGTATAATAAAAACTCAGAAAGAAATTATAGGCGAAACCAAAAGATTTTATAAAGAATTATACACAAGTGAAGATTGTACACAGATAGATTTAGATAAATTATTTGAGGGATATAATGTGCCAAAATTACCAGAATCTATTTCCCTACAAATAGAGGGGGAGATCACTTATGAAGAAGCTCTGAAAGCACTGAAAGGAATGAAAAATGAGAAAAGTCCTGGCCCGGATAGTTTCACAACAGAATTTTTAAAGTTTTTTTGGAATGATATTGGACAATTTTGGCTTAAGTCTGTTAATCATGTATATAGAAACGAATCTCTATCAGTAACACAAAAACAGGGATTAATAACATGTATTCCTAAGGAAAATAAGTCGAAACTTTACCTAAAAAATTGGCGCCCAATCTCTCTCTTGAATACCTCGTATAAACTAGCGTCAGCAGTAATCGCAAATAGAATTAAAGAAGTTTTAAGTATAATTATTAGTGAAGATCAGAAAGGTTTTGTTCCGAGAAGATATATTGGGGAAGTTACAAGATTTATATATGACTTGATGGAATATACTGAATCATATCAGATACCTGGATTACTAATGCTGATTGACTTTGAAAAAGCTTTTGACTCTGTTGATAGACATTATATTTTGAATACATTTAAATTTTTCAACTTTGGTCCAAGTATAGTAAAATGGATATCAATACTTTTCAGCGAAATTGAATCAAGTGTATAAGTCAATGGTTTTGCTAGCCCCTGTTTTAAGATAACAAGAGGTTGTCGTCAGGGGGATCCATTGTCGCCATATATATTTATTATATGTGCAGAGATACTTGCAATAATGATAAGAAAAAACAAAAATATTAAGGGAATAAAGACTGGCAGTATTGAACATTTACTTGAACAATTTGCAGATGATACGACTTTGATGTAAGATGGATCTGAAAAAGGCCTCTACAATGTGTTAAATACACTAGATTTTTTTGCTAGGTTTACAGGATTAAAAGTTAACACTGACAAAACCAAACTGATATGGATTGGTTCAAAAAAGAGATCACGATATAAACTCTGTAAAGAGTGGAATCTTGACTGGACTTCTATGACGTTTAAATTATTGGGAATTAATTTTTCTATTGATTTGGAAGAAATTATTGACTAAAACTATACAGATAAATTTGGAAAAAATTGAAAGGGAAATGAACGTAAGGAAAGCAAGATTATTGACCCCAATAAGTTGAAATGCAGTTTTAAAATCACTGTTGTTATCAAAACTAAATCACTTGTTTACATCTATACCTAGCCCCAATGATGAAGTAATAGACAACTTTCAAAAAATTGTTTTTGTTTTGTGTGGCAAGGAAAGCCAGACAAGGTTAAAATAAATGTAATATCACAGCCATATCAGTTTGGGGGGATCAAAGTACTTATTATTAAAGATATGATAGATTCACAAAAACTGTCCTGGGTGAAAAAATTACTTTGTTGTAACTCAAAATGGGTATTACTTTCATTGAATTCTATCCCAAACATTAACAGATTATGGATGGCAGATGCTAAATATGTCACTGATAAAATTATTCCTGATGTAGACAACTACTTTTGGAAAGATGTATTACAAGCCTGGAGCAATTATTTATTAAAGAGTAATGTTAGTGGTAGTATTGACATTGTAAACCAGGCTTTGTGGTTTAATAACAACATTCAGATAGGAGGAAAGTCCATCTTTTATCCGACTTGGTATTGTAAGGGAGTTACATTTGTTGGTGATGGTTTTGATGGAACGGGTGAAATATATTCTTATGAATCTTGTATTGATAGATATGGAATAATAACGGATTTCCTAACATATCAGGGCATAGTTCAATCAATAATGCAACTTGCCAGAAAAAAACAATTGTAACTTTAAGAGTATGCCTAGAGTCTCTTTTCAACCTATTTTGCCATACAATGTTTCACCACTCACAAGGTGTAATAAAGGCAGTAAACGCTTCTATAACACACTCTTACAACCAGCTTTCATAAAATGTCAGGGAATGCTTAAGTGGGAAGAAACTTTACAGAAAGTATTTACCAATGAACAGTGGGTGGGATTTAATTTGAAGGCAACAAGGTGTACCCAGAGTGAGAATGAGATGGTCTCAGTTTCGGGTTATCCACTACATATTACCTTTAAATAATTACTTACATAGTATAGGTTCTAAAGATTCACCAAGTTACAACTTCTGTGGTACATATAGTGAAACTATTGTACATGCATTTTATGATTGTGAATATGTTGCTCACATGTGGGAGCTTGTTCTCAACTGGTTAACGACATCTGTGAAAGGAGGACTTGACTTCTGTAAAGAGAATATTTTATTTGGATTTAAGGGGAAGAATAACAAATCTCTCAATGTAGTTATATTTCTTATCAAATTTATTGTGTTTAAACAATCACGAAAGGGTTTTCAGCTAAAGTTGAAACATATTCAACGTGAAGTTATTAAATACTACAATATGACCAAGTTAATTGCATTCTCAAATTGCAGTTAAACAGCTTTCTTTCAGTTCTGGTCTTCCTTCCACAAACTTTTCAATCCTAGCACAGAATACTAGTACGATATCATATTTTATGATTGTCTATATTTGCAATATGTTTTGAAAGTTTGATGTAAATGGATTGGTTTTTGAATAATGTATAATTGATGAAATACTACACGTTGTATTTTATTTGAAATGTGAATTTTTATAAAACAAGAGTCATCTGAAGATGACATATCCCCCGACGTGGCATGTCGGTAAACTGTGTGTACCGTCAAATGTATTTAGATTGGCAAGGAAATCTTTTTCCTTGATGCCCAAACCAGAAATATAATGAAGGTTATTAAATATTGGTTCATGTAGCTCACTTTCTGATGATCTCATGAAATTGTAATAACAATAACTTCGCAGATTCGCATATGAATAGCTCTGTAGTAGCCCCATGACACAAAGGCTTAAAGAGAATGTACTAGGTTATGTAGCTCACATCATATATAGTATATGATATAGGTAAATAGTACACCTTAGAATTATATGTCAGGGGCTACAAATTAAAAAGATTAAAATCTATAAATAACAAACTGCACTACTGGTGAACATGATTGATATGTGCATAAAGTTTGGTGAATCTCTGTCACATGGTTTAGAAGATATGCTCCAGACGAGGACATTACCCTAAGTTCATCAATTTTCAATTTAAATTGAAAAAAATAAAAAAATAGAAATCTGTTAATAGCAAAGGCACCACTACATAACCTGCTTGATAGGCGTAAAAACGTTTGAGAAGCTAAGTTGTATGGTTCGGGAGATATGGTCCGGACAAGAGCACTACCCTCAAATTTCCAAAGTTCATCATATTTCCATGGAAACGACAAAAATAAAAAATTCTAAAAATCTCTAAATAGCAAAAGGCACTTCTATTGAGCCTGATTGTTAAGTGTACCAAGTTTTGCGAAGCTAGGTTGTACGGTTTAGGAAATATGCTCCGGACAAGAGCACTACCCTCAAATTTCCTAAGTTCATCATATTTCCATGGACACGACAAAAACATAAAATTCTAAAAATCTCTAAATAGCAAAAGGCACTACTACTGAGCCTTATTGGTAAGTGTACCAAGTTTTGTGAAACTAGGTTGTACGGTTTAGGAAATATGCTCCGGACAAACAATGATTACAGACGGACAGACGACGGACAGACGGACATACTGATGGCTATATCCCCCCGTCATTATATGTCGGGGGGATAAAAAAAGGAAACGGAAGGCGAGACAGATAAGGTGAAAGCAAAATGGAGTAGACAGAGAGAGAGAGAGAGAGAGAGAGAGAGAGAGAGAGAGAGAGAGAGAGAGAGAGAGAGAGAACGAGAGAGAGAGAAAAAGAGGAAGGAAGATGGGAGAGACTTAGAGAGAAGAAATAGGTGGGATAAACACATACAAAGGGTCAGTGTGAACGGGGATACAGGTGGATAGAGGGAGATCGAGGTGGGAGAGAGGTGGGATAGACACAGAGAGTGGGAGAGAGGTGGAAGAGTTATAGAGAGAGGGAAAGAGGGTGAAGGAAGTGAGAGATGGGATAGACACAAAATGAGTGAGTGAGTATGGTACGCCGCTTGTAGCAATATTCACCATTTTCACGGCGGGGGAGAGCGTAAAATGGGCTTCACATATTGTACCCATGTGAGGAATCGAACCCGGGTTTTCAGCGTGACGAGCCAACGCTTTAACCACTAGGCTACCCCACCATCCCGACACAAAATGAGGCAGGGGAGAGTGATTGAGTAGACAAATTTAAGCGAGTGATAGAGAGAGTGGAGAAAGATATGACAGGCAGATGAAGGAAGCATGGGTAGACAGATAACGAGAGAGAAGGGTTAGAGTAGTGGGACAGACATGGAGAAAGTCATCAGAAGATGGAGCATATATTTATGTAGAAATCTGTTGTCCATATTTCGGGGCAGACGTGAATTTGTTTACGTTCTCTCTTCCAGACTTTCGCCAAGAGCCTAGAAAAAGTCATACAGTCGGGGTCTCTAGAAAGGTTCGTATTCCTCTCACAAATACTCATCTCAAAATATTATTATATTTAAATTCGTAAATGGTCTTGAATTTGGGTGTGAACGTGTATGTGAAATAGCGTCAGCATTGGTCCTACAGGACAGATTCTGCAACCGTTCGCGCTGTAGACTCTCTCATATACAATGTCGTCTTGTGATCCAGAAAAAAGGGAACTGAAGTAGGGGACGCCAACGGAGGAGGAGCACTAAAAAACATCAGGTAAATGTTTCCTTTCATTTCTTCATTTTCTTTAATGAAATCCCTACACAGTTAAGTGACGAGAAGTGGCTTATAACATTATATTCAACTAATATATGTATGATTTTGTTATTATCATCTTCCTTGAATTAGGGAACAATACTCATTGTTCAAATGATTGTCTGGTCCACACTCGATTATTTACAGACCGCCGTCATATAGCTGTAATATTGCTGAGTGCGGCGTTAAACAACAAACAAACATGGTACAAACACACAATGTTATATTTGGGATAGCACTTCCTGAGTAAAGTACATATTCTCGTACTTTTGTATGAGGGGTACACAAAATACATGATCTAGACTACCAGCTGTCGGACTTTCATTTTTGTGGAAGCCTCGGTGGCTGAGTGGGATAAATCGCTGACTTTGTGTGGTGGCGATTAGGTGCCTCACTCTGGCAGCGTGGGTTTGAATCCCGGACAAAACAAACAAACAAGTACGAGAATCTATTCTTTACACAAGTGTTACCCCAAATATAGCATTTGTTAAACATGGTACAAGTAAGGAACGGCGTAAACGTGTGTGGAATTAAAGTTTAGTTTGGTTTAAAGCCGTTTCAACAGTATTTTATTTCATTTCTAATTGTATAGATACGGGGTGTTTGGACTGGGATCCAGGGCCTACCCCAATTTCTGCGCCTTCGGCCACTTCCTGGACTCGCTGCTGGGGGACCTGGGAGGTCAGAAGATCCTGGAGACAGGGGAGGGGGATGAACTGAGTGGACAGGAGAACTCCTTTAAGACCTGGGCACGGCGTGCCTTTAAGGTGAGGTAGACGGATGAAGCTTTTGAACAATATTAATACACTAATGAGTTGGGTTAGGTTTGATGCCTATTTGAACAGTATTTGATCAGTTATATACTGCATTTGAGCTTATGAAAGTACAAAAAGTTTAGCATTATGGCGAGGTGCATGTACTAGTAATGCCGGTTTTATAGTGCTAGCCCACTGGGATACCATGCCGTAGTTTAATATGAACTGACTCCCAACCGACCAATCCTTGTTTTATCCACTAAATGTCGAGCTCCAGGCAAGGTAACAACAAGTACCATATTTAAAGGTATAGTTTGACGCGGCCGGGGATCATACCATGGACCTCCGCCTCATCGGACAGACACTCATTGCACTAGACTACGAAGGCGGTCTTTACCACCATGGTGGGACCCACGCGCATTTTCGGGACGATTCTAAGATTCAAACATATAACCAGCGGATTATGACACATCGAAACTCGACGACCTGTCTCCCATTTGATACACGAACATTGCATGAGGAGTGCCAAACTTTAACCACGGATTTACAGATGAGGTCGGGACATGATCTGTTGTTTTCGTCAATTCTTTGTCTTTGAGAGTTGGAGAATTAGTTCCAAATAAACTTGCTTTTCCTAGTGTAAAGTACAAAAATAACAGATTATGGAAGTTCATAAGGCCATTTCGAACCATATTGAGCATTTTTTCGTGGCTTTCATTAACCGATTCCATGACATGGATTCTGCGTGAAACCGGGGGGTGGAGAGTGAGGATGTTATTGGAGGGGGGGGGGCACGTTTTTGTCCAAAATACAAATCAAGCCCGTGTTTTACTTAAATAAATTGTACATATGGCTCGCATCGTAGGTAACAAATAATGTCCACTTTTCATGCAGACACGAATACAGTTATTCTTATTTATTTGAAATAATTAATTGAGCACCAGTTAATGTCGGAAAAAAGAATTGAGTTCCTTAATATCTAATCTCAAACCAAAATGAAGTTCCTCTCCCCGATTTGCGACTTGCCACCACAAGCCTCCCTCAAAACAACCTCTCTCAAATGCAGGCCTCACTCACGGCGTTCAACGTGGACAGTGACATGGACACGACAGACCTCGACGGCGACCTGTCCAGTGGCGACGACACGTGGACACCCGGCAGATTCCGTATAGCAGAACTTCCTGACGGGGAGGAGGGAGACCTGTGTACAGGTAGTGAAACCTCTGTTATATACAGGTAGTGCAGTATGACCTATAATTATGCCTCAAAGTGAGACTGACCAATCAGCGAGCAGAAATACTAACCCCATATCAGCCCGTGTACCGTTAAAAAAAATCCGAGATTGTTGTAACTAATCGACCCACACAAAGCACATATTTCACATGATAATTCTGTTTGTCTTTTAATATCATTACTTGTGTTGTGCAAACACATTCAGTTTAAAGAATCCACGTTCGTGACATTAGAGAAAAAAAAGCTCACAACGGAGGTCTCCGATTTACAAATAGCGACGTCATAGAAAATAATTATAGGATGACGTCTTAAACAATAAACGTGACGCCAATGACGTCAGATAGCAATAGAATAGATAGCAGCCCGTCGTTATCATCTTCCCGAGGCAAGAGAGTTAACTGACTTTAAAAGTCTAGTTTCCACCCTTGCCGAACTAGACTGGTATTATGGAGTTACATTTTGGCTGGACTAACGAGTCTATGCATAGTCTAATCAAAATCGTGCACCGAAATCGAAATCCGGTTCGTAAACTGTCGTGCAGATTCCGGTCGATTGTAGGATTTGCAAAGCATGTGCACCGCCAACTCGTTGTCAGCAGATATTTTCCAAACCTTTTCACGTTTTTAATCAAGGTGCTCACGTGATTTGATGCATTTCGAGGTGTAAGACCCGTTTTATCCCAATATAGATCTTGATGATCGATCAGATCGTCCTGACTGGGCGCCACCATTTTGTGTGAAGCAAACGCAAGTGATACGAGAGGTGGAATCTGATTGGTCCATAGGAGAGGCTTAGAAGGAACATAACTGGTAATAGCCACTGGTGGCGCTACGATCGAACCCAGTAATTCCAGCCTAGTTCGGCAAGGGTGGAAACTGGACTTTTAAAGTCAGATAACTCTCTTGCCTCGGAAAGATGGTCGTTATAGTTATAGTGGCCCGCAGATTTCTGATAACACGCGGGTATTTGTATGATAATGTTTTCCATTTTAGCTATAACATTTGTTTAAACGTTCACATTTAGTGCGGGGGCACGGGTTGCCCAGTCGTCTAAGGCGCCGCCATTCGCTGAGCAGAGTTGCGTCCCCTGGGCATGCCAGAAACCTATGATTGTGGGTTCGAATCCCGGTTCGCCCCCGATTATGATTCTAGGTTTGTCAGCACCATACCCGTGCTCGTGGGTTTCACCGAAGTGGTAAACGTCTGAGACCTGCATCATTTCGGGCTCTCCTCCCACATTAAGCTGACACGCCGTGCTGTAACTAGAATACTGTTAAAAGTGGCGTTAAACCCAACTCACTCACTCACTCACTCACATTAAGTGCATTATATGTTCCATTGTTAAGGTAAGTATGTTTACATAAAAGCGTTGTATCTTAAGCAGACGTACTGGTTCTGTCGTTTATACCGGTTGTAAGTGTCAAGTTTTCATTTGACATGACATGTGCCATAAAGAAACAAAACAGTGTGTACTTTGTGGCATAATATATTCGTTTCGGTGTCTTTAGTTGCTGTGAACGCTGTCATATAAGGTTAGCAGAAAATTATTGAGCTTGGCTCACGCCTCGCCCAATATATTTCTACTAACCTTATATGACACCGTATACGGAAACTAAAGACACCATAACTAATAATATACGGCAAGTATTTAACACTCCGCTATTCCTGAACTCACCCTTCCATATAGGAAGCCTTGCTAATCCGGAAACCATGCTTGCATACAGGTAGTAGAGTCAAACCTCGTTAATCCGGAAGCTCTTCTTGGATACATGGGGGTGCTCGTGCCTAGTGGTTAAAGCGTTAGCTCGTCACGCCGTAGACCCGGTTTCGTTTCCCGACATTGGTACAATGTGTGGAACCCATTTCTGGTGTCCTCCGCCGTGATATTGCTTGAATATTGCGGCGTAAAACCATACTCACTTACTCTTGTATATATATGTAGTGTATTGTGTACATGACGCATGTGCGCTTTTTGATATTTGAAGTCTTCTTCAGTGCCGAGGTCATTGACAGATTTAAAAAAAGATTCTTGAGCCGTTCGTAAATTACCCTGACCCATAGCCCCCTAACCAATGCCCATAGCGATATCAAAGTTTTACTGGGTCCAGCTAAACACGGCCACCATATACAACTTGTAACTTGTCTCGACTAGTGTCAGACAAATATGATTGGAAATATTGTAAAACATTATGGTATGACCATGGAGTACTGCGCGTTAGATGATGCGGTTTCTGTCATCTTTTCGCTGTGAATAGCTGTAATTTTTTACTGATGTAGCGTAAAGCAGTATCCACTCACTCACTCTATCTGCCGTCTCTTCTTCCAGTTCTAGGCAAGCTCCACAACAAGCATGTGGAGCCGTGTAAGGTCCAAGAGAGGCGACAGCTCCAGTCTGCTACGTCTCCGTATGTACTTGCAATTCACTTCAACCCCTGTATCAATAGCATCAGGCTTTATGCCGCTTTCAACATCGTCAATACTTCACAGGCTGTGTATATACACCATGCATACCTGTGAATAGGTACGACCACCGCTTGGTACAGCATAGCTGGCGATAATTCAGATGAATTGAATTCCGATCTACGCTAATGTTGTGAGGAAACTATCACTTCAACTAGTGCATATAAAATGTTAAGTGAATATATTGCTGAGAAAAGAAATTTTTTACACTGTACAGATTGCAAGTATTTCAACAGTCATGAGAACAATTATATAAAACAAGAACACCAACATGAAGGATGTGCTAGTACTAGTGGCATTATTGTGTTGTCAGTATTTTATTACTAATATATCAGCTTCCAAACAGCAACAAGCTGGAAAGGAGCTTCATTGAATAATGAGCTGATAACCACAACATATTACGGTCACAGTCGTCATTTTTTTAACAGAACAGATCTTTCTGTTAAATAAGTCTGAGGTGAGGTGAGGTGAAATGGGGTTTAACGTCGCGTCAAAGATTATTGCACTTATATAGCGACGTGCATGCACGTGTGTGTGTGTGGCTGCTTGTACTAGTCCGGATTGAATGCCGATTTATAGTGCTAGCTCACTGAGATACCATGCCGCAGTTTAACATGAATACCCCACTCAGTCACAGTATACTGACTCCGAGCCGACCAGTCCTTGTTTTAGCCCCTTAATGCCGAGCGCCAGACAGGGTAACAACAAGTACCATCTATTAACGTCTTTTGGTATGACGCGGTCGGGGATCGAACCTCGGACCTTCCGCTCTCCGGGCGGACGCTCTACCACTAGACCACGGAGGCAGTCTAAATTAGTCTGAATGAATCTGGTCATGTACATTTGATTGGTGTATTTGCACACTCATAAAATGTGTACAAATACATATATTTTGACCCACAGCATAAATATTTATTAATATTTAATGGACTCGCAATTGTGCCACAGAATACTGTGTTCGTTCATTAGCTAGGTTTTACCTGTCTCATATTACCCTTAGCTATTAGTTAAGGTCAGGTTGGTGATAATTTGCCTGAGTGTATTTGACACTAATGAGAGACTCACTTGGTTCACTCAGGCGCCAAACTATCCTGGTACGGCTGGGGACTAATTCTTCTACTGCCATGAAGTACAGCCCAGGTGATCACGTTGCCATATTTCCTTCAAATTCACCGGCAATGGTGGAAGCCATCTTGTCTCGCCTACACGAAGCGCCCTCTGCTGGACAGATCATGCGGATAGAGGTGATGCAGGAGGAGACAACCGCGCGAGGTAAACTAAATAACATTGATTTGAAAACCAATTTCTTTGCTTCTTTAATCTGTACTTCACGTTGAACATAATATCTAGACGTTCCACGGATGGCCTAGTCAGCTGAGGCACCGCAGTTCGTTGTGGAGAGTTGCGTCCCTTAGGCGTACCAGAACCCTATGGTTGTTGGATTTATCTATAGGGTTGTTGGATTTATTTGATCTGTTTCTGGGTTTGTTTGCATAATACCCGTGCTCACGGGTTTCTAAGGCATGCACCACGTGCACTTTTCGAAGCGGAAATTGAAATTAACTTACACAGTCACCCATCTGTACTCTATATATAATTGTATTTGACATCATGACATTGCGATATTCCAGGCACCGTGGAGAACTGGGTGACATGGGATAAGGTACCATCGTGTTCTCTAAGAACCGCCTTCACCCGGTACCTGGATATCACCACGCCCCCAACCCAGGACCTCCTGAAGACGTTGTCCACCTTGGCAGACAATAATCAGGACAGAGACAGGCTGGACCTGTTGACCACCGTGAGTCGAGACATACGTCATGATAAACATATATTAGGAACCGAAATTAGGATAATTTGGTTAAAACAATTATGGTAAGCCTCATATTTGACTAGCCCCGTGAAGGTTCAGGTTACAATCGGTCTTCAGCAACCGAGGATTGCTGTACGTGTAAGAGGCGACTAACAGGATCGGGCGGTCAGGTTCGTTGACTTGGTTCATGCATGTCATCGTATCCCAGCTGCGTAGATCGATGGCCATGGTGTCGGTTACTGGATTGCCTGGTCCAGACTCGAATATTTACAGACTGACGTCATATATATTACTGAGTGTAGCGTTACACAACAACAACAAACAAACAAACAAATCAAATGCAAGATGAAAGAACGTGACAAGAACAAAAATGACGCTTAGCTCAAAAAGTATGAACAGAAGAAATATGTTCTTTTTCTAAAGTACTGCACTTGTTATTGACTCATTACTTCCGGAGCAATGCGACCAAGAACTGTTTCAAATACGAGTCGTAATATGTACGCGTCAAATACTAGTAGGCCATTGCCAATACGTAACGGGTTGGTATATACTATGTTTAAATTAAAAATAACGTTATCTGAATGTGGCCTTGCTATTTAATTGAATGTTTAATCGTCTTGGGCCTATTTTTGCGGCAGTGGTTCATCAATAATTTCATACTTTGAAGTTTACAGTTTCTTTCATGATGATTGGCTGAAGGGGTAGTCACGTGATCTGATATTTGGGGTTCACACACCTGTGAACGGACAAAAACCGTCCACACGATGTGAACAATTTTTTGTGAAATTGATCGCGTGAACTTTTGCCGGAACTACTTTCCGGGGCTTCCCCGAATTCTCGATCGGTGTTTACGATTAACTCGTTTTTCTATTTTCTTTTTAATACCTGCATTTATCAGCAATATAATTAATTGAATATTTTGCCTGGTCTTGTAACATTTCATCTGAATTATAAATAAATAAATAAATGCTGGTGTTTGATGTCGTCTAGCTGCTACATGAAACAAAATGGATTGTCCTTACGGTGATTTGGATATGGAATGGCTATCTTTCAAAACTAATAACGCAAGTAAAGAAAATTAATTCTGTAAAATTTCTGAGGTGAACGAAATTGATTTATTGAGCGATATTGACTTTGATGCCTTGTTTTCGGAAATGACAGGAATCAAGCAACAATGAAAACAATGTAGCGCCCTGCTCAGATGTGGCCGCTGGCACAGAGCAAACGCGACTGCTCCTGATCAATCCCAAACTAAAACCCGATTCACTGTCGCATCGGGGAAAAAATCTAAGATTTTGAGAAATTAGAAATCTACTATTCGGGTTTCTGAGTTGGCCGACCTTCTCCGCGCATTCCAGGCCGAGAAGCGGTGGCACATGAGGAGTACGGGGCACAGAAATGAAGCTAGTCATACAGTAGGTCCATCTCAGGTGACAAGAAACACCAGCTAAGCAAAGTATTCCAGCACACGCGACAAATCCCAAACTCCAAATATAACACACCCTGACGTTGAAAATTAAGACAAAAAACGCAAGTTTCAGTGCACTCGGTTCTATCCCCACCAGTCCATTCCGCATCGTCCGAATTGGTTTGCGATTATCCAAACACAAGCAAAACATTCATAAATCGGTGATATTCCCAATTTGCTAGTGCCATGAGAGGGTTCACGCGTTGGGATGTTTTCCATAACTGCTCCATAAACGTCATTTTCAACAGCAGTAAGTATAAATTTCATCCTCATGCTCCCGTTCGACTCGAAATGCATCTCTTTACAAACTTATGTGACGTCATATATAAATCCGCGCTTGAAGGATGACCTCGCCTGTAACCTATTTTTAAGATTTGATATATCCCAAATATTGTTTGTAAATTTGTTCAGAGAATGAAATTAGGTTAACATATTTCTAGGTTATGTTGTATATATTCAAAAAGCTATTTTTCTTTGCGTAACTGAGTATGAGTTGGGAAACGTATGTGACCGAGAGCCGGCATATACCGACAAAATAACATTGTTGCAATGTTCTTCGGCGAAACCAGAGGACTTCAAAATTAAGCAAACATTGTTACAATATTATTCGGCGAGACCACTTAACTACAAAGTATGAAATTATGAGAATTGAACGTCGGTTTGGATGGGTTCATTGAAGTGTGAACGATTTAAAAGCGCTGGTTAAACTGTGTGAACCTTCGATCTTGCGAGCTTAATTGCATACAGGACAAACTTCCCAGTTCAGTAATACATACTATCGTACGCATTTAAACCACGGTATCAAAGACGACATTTTGTAATTTTGACTCACTCGCATAATATCCACCAATATTAACTCATTAAACATATTATATATTATATATGACTTCATTATTATCAGTGGAATGTACTGTTCGACACAGACTAAATGTTTGCTTTTTAATTCATACTCATACGGCAGATAGATGAGGTTGAATATCTTAAGTTTACTGAGTCGTGTGAAACCTCACAGTGGCCATGTGTCACATCTCTCGAGGCTATTATCTCAATACTGTTCCATTTCCAGGATTCCAACGCTTATGAGGAATGGAGGGATACGAACGCGCCGACTCTCCTGGAGGTGTTGAAGGCATTCCCCTCCCTCCGGGTACCCGCCTCGCTGCTGGTCACACAGCTCCCCCTGCTGAAACAGCGCTATTACAGCATCAGCTCGTCTCCCGACGCCCATCCCGACGAGGTCCATGCCACTGTCGCTGTGCTCAAGTACACGACTGAAGGTCAATACGGTTCTGTACATGGCAACTAGTACAATGTCATTCACTCTTTAAATGTCAGAAGCCGCGAATAGCTGCAACACCGCTTATGCGGCATAAAGCAATACTCATTCCTCAAATGTCAGATATACCATGTCAAACTCAAAAGCATGTTACATTAGTGTGGCTCTAACAAGTACACAACCAAGGTCAATGCTTCCTTGTGAATACGACCATGAACTGTTTCAAATATTATAGTATTTCAGCACCAAATAGTTCATCGTCAATACTTTACGGATCTGTATACATTACATTCGTTGGGCGTTCATGTCCGCTGTTAGCGAAATCTGTAAACAGTTGGATGGTAAATCTTCAATCTCATTAAAATCAGACCTTAGTTCTCGCTATCGCTAAACAAAGATCTGAGGACATCTTATTACGGGTCACGTCAGGCCGACCTTGCGCGAACTTTGACCGACCAATAGAATGGCCAATCAGAAGGCAGCTTTCTCGTGCTTTACGGCACTAATTTCAAATTGGTGACAACGCTTCGAAACATATTTGGACAAATTCTCGATTACAAATTTGAAACCTAAACAAAAGAACATTCTGGAATGGCTAATAGATGGTCTAGATTGTATGGATTCAGTCGTTAAACCTGTAACTATCGTTCGGAATACCCCGTGTTAAAGTTTTCGAGGTTGTATGATTAGAAATCACATTCCGACTGTAACTTTCATGATCTGGTAAGCGACGCCCTCATTGGTCGGAGGAAAGGTCGTTCTGACGTGCCCCTAATGGAATGTCTTCAGATCTTTGTTTAGCGGTAGCGAGAACTAAGGTCTGATTTTAATGAGATTGGTAAATGTTTGAATTATTAACTTTTCCCCGTTAGATATTCATTGATTTAAACCCTTACCGATACTTAGCGATATTTAAACAGTTTATGTGACAGGCATCGTCAATACCTCATGCTTTATAGACACTGCATCCTCCATCACTCATGATACACGCGAGGGCGTTACCGTATAGTAGCTATTATAAACAAAGGAATTAAGCCATGACCTCATTCGTGCGAGAGGGAAAACAAAGAATCTGAGACAAGTGATCCCAGGTCATCCCATTACTATAGTGCCCGAGAGCGGACATTATTGCGGCCGCGAGAAAGCGATAACACGAGACAAAAAAGTGATAACACGAGACGAGAAAGCGATAGAACAAGACACCGATATTTCTCATAATGCCGTACATTAAAAAGGTTTTTGCTACTGCTCAGTGATCCAATCCTATAATATTCACCGCGATTTGCCTTTGATACGCAGAACTCTTTCAACATTTTGTTGTGAAGATAAATGTGTTAGATATAGATACAGAATGTTATCTCGCAAATGTTTACTTTCTTGTATTGTAGTAAATTAGAAAGATTCACATATACTACAAGAGAAAAGTCTTTTACTTCTACTTTGCTCAGCAAAAACTCCACAGAGAGTCTGCGGATTCTTTGCGAAACTTAATTGCCCCTTTTAGCTTTATGCCTACAACCCCACCCCAAAAGACGTTAAGAAATGGAACTTTTTGTTACCCTGTCTAGCGCTCGGCATTAAGGGACTGAAACAAGGACTGGTCGGCTCGGAGTCAGTATATTGTGTCTGAGTGGGGTATTTATGTTAAAACTGCGGCATGGTATCTCAGTGGGCAAGCACTATAAATCGGCATCAGTCCGGACTAGTACAAGAAGACACACACACACACACACACATGTACATGTACGTCGCTATATAAGTGCAATCATCATGGACGCGACGTTAAACCCCTTTCCACCTCACCACCTCACCACCTCACGCACGGAGTAGGGCTCACTTGACGTCACTTGAGTTTTATTACCTGATTAAAATTGGACACACACCCTTTAACACCGGATGCCTTCACGTTGCATGAAGTTATGTCTATATTTTATTTAACAACTAAATGCTTTTTATTGAGGGTAATTGCCAACGTAATAAGAACATGACATCAATAAAATAGTTTTCGATCTAGGTGGCATCGAACACGAGGGTGTGTGTTCCGGTTGGCTGAACAAACTGGAAGTCGGGCAGGTCATCCCGTGTGCTATCAGAGCGTAAGTAAATTTAAAAAGTTGAATCACTCCGAAATCACCATGGATGAGTTTGCATGCATTAAGTACATCACATGGTTTTAGCCACCCGTGAAGATCCGGTGCATTCATTCGTTTACTTTTTGCATTTTTGGCTATGGGTCACCAGTCTAATTGTATAATTTGGAGACGCATTAATTTTTAAGATATAAAGTATTTGCACATTTGTGGTCCATCGGCCTATGGTACGAACTTGGTCGACATACAATATAATATATAAGTATACATAAGTGTTCAAAAGTCACAATTAAAGTGAGGACATTGATCCCTGTCTACCATAATGGCTGCAAAATAAAACATTCTCAGGCTCTTCGAAGGATATATAAATACAGTGACATTTCTTTTAATGCATTCATTTTTAAAGGAGATGAGTATATTGATTATTAGGAAGTAGGATAGACATAATATTTTGAAGGGATATACTGTTTACGCAAGTGATCATACTTCTCACACACTAATAGAAAATGATGTTCGTTCTCAATGCAACCCTGTTTACAAACGTTGCATAACCTTTGCTCTCTTGGTGTTTTAAGATATCTTCCCGTTACTACATGAAGAGTGTGAAAGCTTCAGCAAAACTGAGCTAATGCACATCGAAATTTATTAATTAATATAAGAGAGATATGAGGTTCAGCAACAAATTCAGTTTCAAACATTTTAGAGTTATTTATTGAAGATGAATGCCAGTCTTGCACAAAATTGTAAACGTAAAACAAATTCAGACAAATTCTTGTTTTCCTCTGTATATGTTTCCCTAATAAAACCTTGAACTTTGAAGCCCAGTCATTTACCATTATCTATAGATTGAAACTGCATATCATAACATTTTCTTGGATATAAATATCAATACCCAAAATGTCAGACACATATAAAAGAATAGGCAGAACTTAAGTGTCAAATACCCTTGAAATAAACTATATGGAACAGGTTTAAGACTTACAAGAGTTTTTAAAACAGTGAATTGTGCACTCTTAGCCTGTTTAGCAGCATTAGTAATATGCTGCTAATCCAACATAGGTTACTTGCACAAACAACGCCCAAATACTTATGTGGAGAAACACACGTTAGCTGTTTATCACAGTAAGACCACTTTTCAAACCTGGAAAAAATACACCGACGTTTAAACACAACTTTGGTCTTATCGAAAGTTAAGCCATTATTATTACAATACTCAGGTAAGACATAAATTCGCTACTAAAGTCAAAAACCTGCATCAGAAATACGGATCACACCATTGGCGAAAAGCACAAGAAAAAGATGAATAATACGTAGATGATGTTGTATTTCTGGTTCACAGGTTTTTTTCTATTTCGTTAGCTGTCATCAATAAAAATGCCGAACAAAAACGGGCTCAAAACGCACCCTTGTCTGACTCCGACGTTAGATTCAAAGAACTCTGAATGGTGATCAAATCTTACATAAGATTTAACACTATCATAAATTGTTTAAATGGAATTATACATTTTTGTTGAAATCCCATTATCACTTAAAACTGTCCAAAGTGTGGATATGTTCATAGAATCGACAAATACAGTATACTTTTTGCCTCGCTTCTTTCCAAGATATCATTGTATGACTGACTGTAAAATCTACATGTTGTCAGTTGTTGAGTAAACAACGACGGAAACCAGGCTGGGATTCGATAATTTTATCAAAGCATTCACTCCAGGAGTGTTGTCTTGTATTAAGAATTAAACATACCGTATTCGACGTAATAAGCGCCTCGCTCTAATAAGCGCCCATGGCGATATTAGCACCCCTTCCGATTGATCAATGTACACAAGACTTATTTATTGGTGTTTAATACGCACTCGTGTCTTATATGCACCCTTAATTATGGGCAATTGACTTCTGGAAAAAAATATCTGTTGTATGTAAACATTTCAGGCTGTCAGCATAAACCACGAAATTTACGATCTTTCAACTCTGTTTTTTTTTTCACCAAAATAATATTCTAATAAGAGCCCCTATTTCTAATTTTGAGAGCGCCCTGGGCGCTTGTGACGTCGAATACAGTATATCTTACTGAACACATTTAATAGTGTAAATGGAGTTCACATTATCTTTCTTGTACAAAGGGACCATAATCCCATCTGACAATGAAGTTGAAAAATAGGCTTTTTCAAACATAATATTAAAGATAATTCTAATATAAGGTACTAAGCGTCAGCAGAATATTTACATTTCAGAAATGAACTTGTCATTATCAGATGACTAGCATTACCGTCTTGTTGCGTCATAATGGCCTTATGGACCTCCTCTTGTTCAGTGGCCGAATCCAAAATAGATTTGGTGACTTCATCAACATTTCTTCCTATTTCTGGATTGCCAATCTCACAATAATCCTTCTCGAACAACAACTTAAAATGCGTAAACAACTGGTTCATTATAATGTTTTGTTTAACTGTATGGGAACTTTTGACATTTGAGAGATAACCAAAATTGCTAACCGTTATTCATACTTACTTTGAAATTGAAAAATAAGCACAAAGAGAAGAATAGTATTTACACGTCTGAAAATCGTTAACAAACGGTATTTCTCATTATAATAAGTCCGTAAACACTTGGGATGCGTAACAATCCCCTGACAACAGTGCTGCTTTATCACTTGCAAAATGCAATATGTCAATCTTTATTTACACATATACTGAAAGGCCACACACCTATAGAACAGACTGACCCGTGAAGATCCGGGTTAGAATAGGACTTCAGAAAGCCATGCTTGTAGTAAGAGGCGACTATGCTTGTCGTAAGAGGCGGCTAACGGGATCGGGTGGTCAGGCTCATTGTCTTGGTTGATGCATTTCATCGTTTCCCAAAAGCGTGGATCCATGTTCATGATATCAATCATTGAATTGTCTGGTCCAGGCTCGATTATTTACAACCCCCCGTCATATAGCTGGAATGCGTGTGGCGTTAAACAACAAACAAATAAACATGGTTTTAGCAAGATTGAATCTTATCACGACAAAGGGCATTCATATATAAGATTAAAAACCTGTATCCATCTCTCTCTCTGCGGGGACCGCCTCCGTGGTCTAATGGTAGAGCGTCCGCCCGGAGAGCGGAAGGTCCCCAGCCATACCAAAAGACGTTAAAAGATGGTACTTGTTGTTACCCTGTCTGGCGCTCGGCATTAAGGGGCTAAAACAAGGACTGGTCGGCTCGGAGTCAGTATACTGTGTCTGAGTGGGGTATTCATGTTAAACTGCGGCATGGTATCTCAGTGGGCTAGCACTATAAATCGGCATCAGCCCGGAATAGTACAAGCAGCCACACACACACATACACGTGCATGCACGTCGCTATATAAGTGCAATAATCTTGGACGCGACGTTAAACCCCATTTCACCTCACCCCTCTCTCTCTCTGCGACAGCGCCCCCAACTTCCGCCTACCAGAGGACAAGACGCTGCCGGTGATGATGGTGGGGCCAGGGACAGGTATCGCCCCCTTCAGGAGTTTCTGGCAACAGCGACAGGTGGACCTGGCGAGAGGGCATACTCCGACAAGTGAGTCCACTATTGCACTTGCTTGTGATTGCCGTCTTCTTTGTTCTCGAAAGGCGACATCTGCTCAGTTCATTCAACACCACTCTGTTATGACGTTGTATCCCCTGTATGTTCTGTTCTGCAGACGCCAGTGACATGTTGTTGTGGGGTTGCTGGTGTGACATGGGGTTGTGTTCCCTGTATGTTCTGCGACTGTACATTTGTATATTCTGTTCTTCAGACGCCAGTCCACGAGGCTGGTGTGACATGGGGTTGTGTTCCCTGTATGTTCTGCGAGTGACCTTTTGTATGTTTTGTTCTTCAGACCCCGATCGGGGAGGTTGGGGTGACATGGGGTTGTGTTCCCGTTATGTTCTGCGAGTGAACTTTTGTATGTTTTGCTCTTCAGACGCCAGTCCGCAAGGCTGGTGTGACATTGGGTTGTGTTCCCTGTATGTTCTGCGAGTGAACTTTTGTATGCTTGTTCTTCAGACCCCGATCGGCGAGGCTGGTGTGACATGGGGTTGTGTTCCCTGTATGTTCTGCGAGTGAACTTTTGTATATTCTGTTCTTCAGACGCCAGTCTGCGAAGCTGGTGTGACATGGGGTTGTGTTCCCGTTATGTTCTGCGAGTGAACTTTTGTATATTCTGTTCTTCAGACGCCAGGCGGCGAGGCTGGGGTGACATGCGGTTGTATTTCGGCTGCCGGTCGTCCAGCCAGGATCACGTCTATGACTCGGAGCTGGCAGCCATGAAGGACCAGAGAGTGCTGAAGGACTACTATGTGGCCTTGTCCCGCGAGCCAGGCCAACCGAAGGTAGGGGTGTTTTATACGTCAATGTATGTTTGAACATCGCTGAAAAAAAGACCAGATCATCTTTGAGCCAGACCTGAACATCATTAGCAAGATTGCATAATTGTTTTGCCAGACTTGAACACCAGAACATATTTGATTTCGTTGAGCCAGTCCTGAGAATCCCTGAGGATATACTGGGTCATCGTTGATAATAGATAATAGAACATCTTGGAGAGCTGAAAATCTTGGCGACAATAAATTGTCAAGAGTATTTGCCCAAGTCAGTGACTGACGGTACACTTATAAAGCGATAGGCATTTATCTCTCGATCAAACAGCTGAACAAATTCTACAGCTGAGAGCGCTAAAATGTTTAATCTCCTCCCCTACTGTCTGGTGAAATGTCCCATCTCCTCCCCACTGGCTAGCGAAATGTTCCATCTCCCCCCTCCCTGGCTAGTGAAATGTTCCATCTCCCCGTCCCCTGGCTAGTGAAATGTTCCATCTCCTCCCTCACTGGCTAGTGAAATGTTCCATCTCCTCCCTCACTGGCTAGTGAAATGTTCCATCTCCTCCCTCCCTGGCTAGTGAAATGTTCCATCTCCTCCCCACTGGCTAGTGAAATGTTCCATCTCCTCCCTCCCTGGCTAGTGAAATGTTCCATATCCGCCTCACTGGCTAGTGAAATGTTCCATCTCTTCCCCACCTGCTAGTGAAATGTTCCATCTCCTCCCCCACCTGCTAGTGAAATGTTCCATCTCCTCCCCACTGACTAGTGTGATGTTCCATCTCCTCCCCCACCTGCTAGTGAAATGTTCCATCTCCTCCCCACCTGCTAGAGAAATGTTCCATCTCCTCCCCACTGACTAGTGTGATGTTCCATCTCCTCCCCCACCTGCTAGTGAAATATTCCATCTCCTCCCCCACCTGCTAGTGAAATGTTTCATCTCCTCTCTCACTGGCTAGTGTAATGTTCACACCTGCTTGTGAAATGTTATGCCTCCTCCACACCTGATAGAGACATGTTCCGTCTCCTCCACAGATGTACGTCCAGCACATGTTGCAGCAGTATGCCAAGGACGTCTACAACACCATGGTCAAAGCTGGCGGACACATCTACGTTTGCGGCGATGTAGAAATGGCTGAAGACGTCAGGCAGACACTGGAGCGGATTCTGAGTGAGCAAGGGAACCTGACACCGGAAGCAGCTAGAGAATATATTCGCCAAATGAGGGTACGTATAAAAACCGGAAGCAGTCAAAGACTATAATCGTCAAATGAGGGTACTTTTAAAAACTGGAAGCAGCCAAAAGCTAGATCTGTCAACTGAGGGTATATATAGACACTATAAGTAGAAGCCAAAGACTACCTTTGTCAACTGAGAGTAAATATAAACACTGGAAATAAAGGTTTGTGCTGCATTTGCAACATACTAGGAAGGATGAATAAATGTAACTCGGATTTGTTCTATTTGTTGTACTGTCTTGAAGCTGTGCTATACAGTATCAGACAAGACCACACTACCATAAAGTATTAAATGTGCTTATATGTACTGTGTTGCAGAGTGTCAAGAGATACCACGAAGACATATTCGGAGTTTTACAGAAGAAAACGAAAGTGGAAACCAGGTCACCGGTCCAGACAAATAACGTCGAGGAGGACGTGCCCTGGATTCGGAAAATAACGGACTCTGTCGACGAGGGCGGAAATGTGGTGCCTGTGTTCCCAAGTACGGTACGGTGCTTCTTAATCATTGATGACCCTGGTGTCATCACATACCATTAGCTGGGAGCTTTCTTCACACCTTACGATGTTTGGTTGGGATCTGTTTGAAGGAAATAATTAAAAGGAAGAATAACTGGGTTTTCTGAAATAGACGTGCTGTGGGACCAAAAAAAGGCTTGGCACCTCCTAACGGTAAAATGTATGTCTTGGGGTACCTTTAAGTATTTTCACCCCCGTCCCCAGTGCGCAGTGTATACCTATCCAATCCTAGAATAGGTTTATACCACCCACAATGTATCAAGCCTGGAACCATTGTCCCGGAGCTGTGCTCCTGATACCAGGGTATCATGATATAAGTATAAAGCCATCATAGAAAACGTGGTAAACGGTCACAGTTTTGTTATTATTTAAGAGAGGCAATCTAAAGAATCAAGACCCCCATTGACACTGACCGTAATCACTGATTAATAAACCATGAACAAATATACCAGCTGATTAGCTAAGCAACTGTATAACAGCTATTACCAAAGATTGATAAAACCACACTCGAACAAAACAATCGACAAGTCGCATAGACAAGCATTTAACCAATTTACACCTGGGAGTTAATTAACTCAACACTCGTTTTTGTACTTATTGAAAATTGTATATAATTGTATCTGATGTTCCACCGTGGGTGTTTTTCTAAGAATAAATGAGCTGAGTTGAGATGGTAGGGAGAAATGGGCACTGAAGGCTTATCCCTAAAATATGTCTCTTGGACATTTAGGTTGGCGGATACGCCTGAATAAAACTTTAACCTCATAGACTCAAGTCGCTTGGACTAACAAGGAAATACAGGGATCTGGATCTGGAATCGCCTGTTTTGAGGGTTTTTTTAATTTGATTGGTTTGCCTTTTATTGAGAGACGGGATATCATATTAGCATCTTTCCAAAAGTGTTTAAGTAGAACTCCCACAATTTTGTTTCACTTGAAAGGTTGAACCCCCATTTATTGCACCATTGATCTACTCCACCCAGGGCTGACTGGAGTTGTTTTCGGATTTGTGAAACATCTCTGTGTTTTACCCATATTGCTACGTCATCAGCGAATTTAGATACTTGGGAAGGAGAGTTGACATGATCAATCATAATGTTAAACAGGGTTGGGCTTATAATGCCTTGTGGCGTGCCATTGTCCAGTGGCATTGGATCATGTTGATTGTTCCCTATTTTAACTGACAGCAACAGCATGAAGCTGTCTATGGCGTTTGCCATGTTCCCTTCTACTCCATTTTGTGAGTCTTGCCTCATCATGTCGAAGGCTTGGTAGTGGTCACTTTGAAGTGATTAGTAGTCGCTTGTCGCTTTTTCGATCTTAGTGAGTTGAATTGATCTGGATTCAGATTGCTGAGTAGAGGGGTAATTTACACACTCGATAGTGGCGAGATTCCTAAACGAGACATGCGGACCTAGATGCAGACAACCACCCCAAGCTAGCAAAGGAAAGCCTTTGGGAGCTAACAGAACAGTGTGAGATAGGGAATACACGAGGGATTAGCAAACTAACTACTAAACCAATATAGGAATATAGGTATCAAAATAATGTCCTGAACATAAGCCACCAAAGGGAAGCATTAAACATTTACAACCAGATATGTACAATTAGTAAGGTGAGCTTTTAGCAATATCCCAGTAATATCACGACTGGGGACACCAGAAATTGGCTTCACACATTGTACCTATGTCGGGAATCGAACCCGGGTCATCGGCGTGACGGGCGAACGTTTTAACCATTAGGCTATCCGACCGACCGCTATTAGCAAGTTGGAAAAATAACTATGAATACATGTGAAATATCTACGAAGTACTAGGTAACCCCTATACTGCGTGAAAAAGTTACAAAACACTTTCAATACATGAATAAGATTGCATAGACATATATTGGATAACATATATGAAATCAATACAAGACAAAAGCATTCGATTTAACTGCTAGAGAATAAAATTTAAAAACAAAAAATTCTTCGACAATACCCTAATGAGCAAAAGACACCGAGCTGCGCCGATTGGGTCTCACGATCCGGTGACAATCATTAATATTGCGCGTTCGTACCATAGTTAAAATACGCTCTTGTCGATTGCTATCGTGCTTTTTGCCCCATCAGTATTGCTCTATGTTGACGTTGTAACCGCAACTTTGCATATTATTATCTAATATTATTATTTCAAAACGCCTACGGACAATGACTGAGAGATAAATATTTTTTCCCCTAAATATTATCTTCTGCGGTGATGAAGCACTTAAAACAGATACTTCAATCAGAGGTGGTTGCTGTGATTTGAAACTTCTGATTGACCAATCAGAGTCGATTATCTTCCGCATTCAGAATTTGAACCCACCCTGCATGTGTCGCAAGTCTGTATGGTGAATGACGACTTTAACTACTTGGCCACTCATGTCCCGTAAGGTGATGGACCTGCTGAGTGAGCTTCTGCATCACCTTGTGACGACACAAAGCAGCCTCAAAGTATTATTTTGTACATCTGTCACTTCATTACGTTGCAGAACCAGTTTGTACGCCGGGCAGTGCTTAATACATCACTAACTTCACTTGATGGCTTCAGCGCAGGTGTAGAGTCCAACTAGGTCCGTGGTAACAGTAACGCTAGGTGAGTTGCATTATTATTTTTCACGTTATATTTGTGGACGTACTGTGTTGGTACATGGACCAGTACAGTGTGAGTGAATTAAAATTTAAAATCACATCGACGGTATTTCATCCATATTGTGACCAAAAAAGCAGTGCATTTATACCAATTGCCATCGTATACCAATTGCATGGATCGATGCTCAAGATGTCAACAACAAACAAACAAATCATTTGGTGTAACATATTCGGACCATTTGTTTTCTTATCCACTGTCAAGCACAGGACATCCTCTTGTTCACCATGTTCTTTCATTCACGCAGAACCGGAAGAAGATCAAAGGGAGATAATAGACGACATAGCTTCGTGATGCCAACAGCCAAGCTAAGAGTGAGTGAGTGAGTTGGGTTTAATGCCGCTTTTAACATTATACCAGTTATATCGCGGCGTGTCAGTTTAATGTGGGAGGAAAGCCCGGAGTGATGCAGATCTCAGACGTTTACCACTTCGGTGAAACCCACGAGCACGGGTCTGGTGCTGACTAACCCAGAAACATAATCGGGGCGAACCGGGATTCGTACCCACAATCATAGTTTCTGGTGTGCCCAAGGGACGCAACTCTGCACAGCGAATCGCGGCGCCTTTGACGACTGGACCACCCGTGCGAAGCTAAGAAGTGGACATGTAAGGGACTGTCAGGAACCAACTCATTGGCCTTCATGTCCACTGATTGCGATTCGTGATGCAATGGAGTATGTAATCTGTAAACAACGACTTTGAATTATTGGGTGGTAAATCTTTAATTTATTAACATATTCCTATGTAAATATATTTTTATTTTAACCCTTATATTAACGATATATACGGGGTTCTTGTGACAGACATCGACGATACTTCACGAGAGCGTTCACGCAGACATCTTCCATGACCCACCCATATAGTGTATACAAACCCGTGAACTCATGACGAGGTCTGGCATTAACTGTATACATAGAACTGTGCTGTGTGAGTGATTGGTGTTCAACGCCGCAATCAGAAATGTTCCAGCTATATCACCTGTATATAACGAAGTCTGGACAAATTATACAAGCAGTTGATATTATAAGCAACTTCCGCGACAGCAATCTACCATGTCACCGAGCCTGACCACGCGATTCAATTTAGTCGCTTCTTACAAGTCATATAGTGCCGTGCTAAGGTCATCACCGGCGAGGCAACTTGTTGAAGATAGGTGCATGTGATATTGTTTGTACCGGGTTGCGTCTGTGCGCACAAATCTTATCGATATCCTCGATAAGTCAGTGTATCATACTTCCATTCCATACTATTTATAAATACTCTGGATACATTCGCTACGCTAAAAACAGCCGTGCAATCATATCACACTGATGAGCTAGAGTAATATTGTGCTGTGTTAGAGTGAGTGAGTGAGTATGGTTTTACGCCGCTTTTAGCAATATTCCAGCAATATCACGGCGGGGGGACACCAGAAATGGGCTTCACACATTGTACCCATGTCGGGAATCGAACCCGGCTCTTCGGCGTGACGAGCGAACGCTTTAACCACTAGGCTACCCGACCGCCCCGTGCTGTGTTAGAGATACCAGAAATGGTGACGTCACCTTACGAAGCTTTAGTAGCGAATCTGTCCTAGGTATTTGTTGTAATAGAAAATATAGAATATAGAAAGTAAATGCTGAATGTCCCCCTTTATGTTGCCATATTATACTTATTTGTTGTAAACATTTAAGATGTGCAAAGCATTCAAGACAAGTGATATTGGTTTGGTTTGGTTTGTTGTTTAACGCCGCCCTCAGCAATATTCCAGCTATATGGCGGCGGTCTGTAAATAATCGAGTCTGGACCAGACAATCCAGTGATTGATATCATGAGCATTCGTGTATTTTGAGGGCCCTCGTGGGTTTTCCTAATCCAGTGTAGCACCACTCAAAACACTGTCGTAAGGTAAGATGGGTCTGAATTTTACCATAAAACAACGCTGAAATAGTACTTAGCATAGGATCAGACTCGTCCTGCATACACTGCATTATAATTAATAGCTTTCGTTCCCTTATCTATTTTTGTTGTTTGGTTTGTCTACTTTTGATGTTTTGGGGGTTGGTGTTAAATGTTAAAAAAACTTTATCTGAGTAAAGTAAATTGCCGAGCAGGAGAAAGTGTACACCCATGATGGTGCCTAAAAATGAAACAAACAGGAAATGGTTATTCGATGGTGATGTATATGATACGGGTATCAACGGCAATATTACTTGCGTCACATTAGTGGGTATCTCACAACTGGTGACGCGCACATGACGTCTCAAGGAACATGGGGGTCGCAATTTCACAGTACATAGTAGTGTCAATTTTCAAGTGTATAGCTTCGTTTGCCTGACAGTTTATATGTGTGTTCCACAATTTACTGACCAAATAAGAATTTCAAAACCTATTCGCTTCGATTTCAGGTAAAATTATTACTGTTTTTTATAAAGGCCCTTAATGTTACTTGCCTACTATCGACCCCTATCAGAGCCCTCATTGCTGTGTGTTATACATGTAGAAGGGAATAAGTACAGTTAAACGCCGTTGCGTCAAAATCTCATTTAGTTTCTTCGGTCTTTACTTTACTTATTAACACTTACAAGTCGAATCGGATGTTGTCCCAAATGAAAGTTCTAAGTCTGCACTTTTTAATACTGGGCCACAAACGCTTGACAATGGCATCCCAAAATACGAGTGTACAGAAAGGATCATTAAAGCTGTTCCGGCCACACTTAGATATACATTCATCTAACGTTAAATTTGCAAAGAAAAGTGTGTACCATGTTTAGAGAAAACGGGGAATTTGTACACCACTCGTAATTGATTTGTGTAAGTTCCATGGTTATATTCACTGATACTTTAAGTAATGAGCATATATTTGCTATTGCATTTGGAGACAAATTCTCATAATTTATGTGTAAAGTAACTTGTTACACATACGAAAGGAGATAGGAAGGTTTGACATGATTCGTTACCAAATTTTACAATTTATCAGTTTTTCCAGCTGATCAAGCAAAAGGCTAAAATGGTCTTCCTTTCTGTTTAAAGTTACATTGCAGAGAGGTTGTTATTCAAAAATAGAGACATTGCAAGAGTAAAAAGGTGCATATACTTTTTTAGTGTAACATGGAAACTATGGCCCACTATTGCAATACTCCAGAAGTACAAAATGGATCTGATAAGTCGAATTGAAAACTGAATATATGTTAACCTTCCGTACATAACCATCGATGTCAAAATACAAATGTTACTTTGTGGAACACTCGGGTAAGTCGATTTTTTTCTCAGGGGCCTTCGTATTCGACACGTTGTTCTACATATGAATACGTTTCATTGTGTTCTGTAGCACGTACTGATGTGTACTATGAACTGTGATACAAATGTGTATATTTCACTGACACAATATTGTATTTTAAAATAATCATTTACATGGAATCGACAGAAACGTTTATCGAAAAACTGCATTAAATTGCCATACAATAATGTGTCATCTGGTTTGCCAACCACACCACTGTGATATATTTAATAACAAGGTTTGAATTAATACGGTTATAAACCTGGAAACCCCAAAAGCGATCTTAGCGCTACGACTGTCATAAGTCTATGCTAAAGTATAGGAGTATATGGTCTAAACGATAAGATCGCTTTGTAAAACGGGACCCAGGGAGCTGGTTAAACCTTGTATATTACCGTATTTATTGGGGGAATTTGTGTAACAATTTGGATTTATGACAGCCTGTGCGTTTTTACAATTGTATAATACGTCCATGTACATATACAATTATTTTAGCTCCATGTTAGAATGATAAAATATGATTGGTTCGCGTGATCTTGATAACATACTATATGCTCCTGATGACCACAGGAATGTTATAGTACCGGAAGCAAATTATTTTGTCAGTTCAGGATATGCTTACGTCAGCAAATCCCTTATCACTCACAAGGTGATCAGTCATTTTAATATCTTCAGGATTTTTCGTTTGGTTGTGCACATTATAGGTTGTAGCAGTACCTATCGAGGTACTCATGTACAACCACATGTACCCCGAGTGATCCTATTACACCGATTTATCTTACCGACATGTTTTAATGTGACATTGTAAAATAATTAAAATCAATTCAAAATTGATAGAACACATCTGTTCGATTGAACTGAGGTTAACTTGTGCTGTCACATGACTTTCATTGACTCGAAAAAACATGCGGCTTTTTGCTTCGAAGCGGGGTATAAGGGATTTATTATTCCGCTCAGAAATCCACGTGCAACAAGTCTTCCTCGTGGCGGGGTATAAGGGATTTAATCTTTCGCTCAGAAATGTGTAACCATCCCCTAGGCCAGATGCATAGTATTTAATCTAGATCACGTGAACTAATCAGCCATTAACAATGTTACACCGGTTTGCAGTCGAAGTTATGCTGAAGGTACAGTTTTATGCACAAAGTTACGTAGTATATTATTAATGTTTTTCCTCAATGCTGTATAGATTATGTTTTCTCGTTATCGTTTACACCGGTGTTTTTCCTTATTGCTGCATACATCATGTTTTCCCGTATTCGTTTTCACCGGTGTTGTCCCTTAATGTTGCACTCATTATGTTTTCCCCGTAATCGTTTACACCGGTATTTTCCCATTTTGCTGCATACATTATGTTTTCCCGTAATCGTAATTACCCCGATGTATTCCCGTTATGCCGTATTCATGTTGTTTTCGCGTAATCGTTTACACCGGTGTTTCCCTTAAAGCTGCATACATTATGTTTTCCCAATAATCGTTTCTTCAAAGTTTTCCCAAAATGCTGCATACTGCATACTGCATTATGTTTTCTTGTAATCGTTTACACACGTTTTCACATATTCGCTTACACCCGTTTTTCTCAAGATGCTGCATACTACTTTATGTTTTCCCGTAATCGTCTACACCAGTATCTTCCCTTAATGACCAATACATTTTGTTTTCCCCTTATCGTTTACACTGATGTTTTCCCTTAATGCCGAAAACATTATGTTTTCCCGTTATCGTTTACAACCGTGTTTTCCCTTAATGCTGCAACATTGTTTTCTTATAATCGTTTACATTGATGTTTCCTCAAAATGCTGCGTTCTACATTATGTTTTCCCGTAATCTTTTGCACCACCGAAATGCCACGTACATTAAGTTTTTTCTCTTAATCGTTTACACCGGCGTTTTCTCGTAATGCTGCATACGTAATGTTTTTCGTCATCAAAATTCTTTATACGTTAAGTTTCCCCATAATCGTTTACACCTGCGTTTTCTCAAAATGCTTTATACATTAAGTTTTCCCCGTAATCGTTTACACCTGCGTTTTCTCAAAATGCTTTATACATTAAGTTTTCCCGTAATCGTCTTCACCGGTGTTCTCCCGTAATGCAGCGTATATTATATTTTCCCATAATCGTTTACACCGGTGTTTTCCCTTAACATATTGTTTTCTGGTAATCGT